ACAATAAATCAAAAAATTAGCCGGGCGTGGTAGCGCACGCCTGTAATTCCGGCTACTCGGAAGGCTGAGGCGGAAGGATCGCCGGAGCCCAGCAGGTCGAGGCTGCGGTGGCCGGGAGCGGCCACTACTCTCCAGTCTGGGTGACGGAGTGAGACTCCAACTCAAATAAAATAAAATAAAATACTAAATAATTAGTTCAAAGAGAGCATTCAGCAAGATTCTCTTTCTGAGTCAGTTCTCCATTTATCTTTTTTGTTTGTTTGGGTTTTTGGGGGGCCAGGATTGGTCTCTGTCACCAAGGCTGGAGTGCAGTGGTACGATCACAGCTCACTGCAGCCTCAGCCTCCCAAGTAGCTGGGATTATAGGTGTGCGCCACTACACCTGGCTTATTTTTTGTAGAGAAAAGGTCTTGCTATGTTGCCTAGGCTGGTCTCGAACTCTTGGGCTCAAGCAATCTTCCCTCCTCAGCCTCCCCAAGTGTTGGAATTACAGGTGTGAGCCACTGCACCAGGCCCTAGTTCTCCATTTTTCAAAACTTTTTGTTTTGTTTTTTTAAATAAGTTCCACCTGCCTGTTAAATGTCACAGGCGTTTAATCTATTTTACCCTAGTACTTGTGAAATGTGACCAAAATGCCACTCTAGAAAAATCCTCAAGGGAAATATTTAACTAGATTATAGTTTAGGTTTAAGTATCAAGCAGGACTTTTTTATCCTTTTATCTGACCCTCTGACAGCCAATAGAGCTTTAATAATTTTTAACATTGTAATCTAATTAAATACTATATAAACTTAAATTATTATGTCAGGCAAATAAGACACTCATTTTCCTTAGCAAATGACAGCATAAATTCCCCAAAGAATGCATGTGCTCAGGCAGTTTTTTTTTTACAGTTAGTGACACTACCTGCTGAGATGTAATTTGGGTCTTTGATTCTTTTTATGGCTAGTAACATAGCTCATATATCACAAAAAAAGAAAGATATTTACTGTTTATTGTAATAAATAATGTACAGATTAAAGGTAAATGTTGCAAAATAAGAAAAAGTTTAGTTTCTCACAGTTATTTTCCTAAATGAAAAATACAGAAAGGTACCATTAAGTAAATTAGCACAAAACACTGGGAATATTTATAAATGCATACTGCAGTCCCAAAAATAACAAGTCACTGATTTTCTAGACCCCAAATGACAGGTTTAAGATATGATTTGTATGGCTGTGAGGATTTTATCCAAATGTGACTATTCTAGTATTTTTATGCTTTATCTTCATAAATAACAAAGAAGACGCAATTCGCATTGGCCTACTGTTCTATACCAAAACACCACCCTAGCTAAAAATAAGTAACAGTTAATACCCACTAAATTTAGCTAATTTAAAATCCATCCATGAACTAGTTATTTCCAGAATGGAAGAAATACATGAAGAGTTTTTAAAAATCAAATCACTAAGACAAACTGAATTTAAAATTTTTAACTGGGGAAAAATACTTTTATTCAGTTATAAGGTAAGTTTTATAACCATATCTGTATACAACAATTAAAATTCCTAATTGGTTACCGTGCTTCCACAGATAGAATTGATAGACTCAGAAACAAGCCATCAAAAATCAGGCCACAAAGTTTTTGGATGTTTTTCACTGAGTTTTACTTTATTTGCTTAGGAAAATAACAACTACAATTAACTACAGCTGAGTCATAGAGGAAGGCAGCCAAGTATTAATTTTGCCTCTATATAATAAACAGTTGCTTAACTGTTTATATATGTTAGATCTGGACAATGAACTTAGATCTTGTGGCTCATACAAAGCAATGAAGGTATAGGAAACATATCTTTTCTTGGCTCTCAGCCTCCAATATAATTTATGTTATTGAACTTATGTTTATGTCTAAGAATACCTAATATCAATTGCTTTTTAAAAAGGGATAGAAAATATTTGCAGGGGAAACCTCATTTAAAAAATCTAGTAAGACCAGCAAAATTGCTAGTTTTATTCAGTTGCCTTGAAATAAAGCCATACTGGCATATTAGAAATTTGTATTGTTTTCAGAGCCAATGTTCAACACTATTTGGAAAGTAAGAATTTTTCTAAGGGAAACAACAGATAATGAGGGGGAACCCCAAAACCAGAATTATCTTTTGGAGGGTGGGCCCCTGGTAGCACAGGCTGTTCCTGCTAGGAAAGTGCTCTGGGAATCCATCAGTATTAGTGTACCAGCTAGCATTGTGAAAAGCTGCATTTGGCTTCAGTGAATTTTCTATTTTAGATTTTTTAAATGCATTTGCCCATTTCATGATGGGTGATTTATAAGCACACCTGCCCACACTATGCTGAGTGTTCAGCAGTTTTTGACCAAAAACAGCATATCCCTGTGCCCCACCCTCCCTATTCACCCAGTCTCACCCAAGTGATGAATTTTTGTTTCCCCAGATGAAAAAAGTCCTCAAAGGGAAATATTTTGCCCATGTGGAAGAGGTAAAACAAGAAACAGCAGAAGCACTAAAAAGGTAACACTGATGAGTTCAAAAACTGTTTTGAGCAGTGTAAAAAGCGTCTCGATAGGTGTATTGCATCAAACAGTACTTTGAAGGTGACTGAAGTCTAAACATGTAAGAATAAATGCACAGTATTTTATATATATATTCCTTTTTTTTTTTGCCTCCCCCCCTGTATGTATTAAGTAGCAAGTGACACTGTAATAAGATTAAAAATTCTGTTTACATTTATTCCTAAAAGTGAATATTATTTTGATTAGGGTATCCTAATACAATTTGATACATTTTTCCAAAATATTATATTGGTGCATTGTCAGAAGTTGTTTTTTAGGTAAAGGGCATTTTTAAATGCTGGAATTGGGAATATGCCTAAGACAAAATTTAATGGAATGATCAAGAGGTTTTTAGTTCTCATACAGTAAGGGCTCCCGTAAAGAATCAAGGATGCTCATAATCACCACTTTAGATATTTCTGTTGAAAACGATGATAGCTCATATAGTTTTAGTTTTAACTTACAAGTGTCATAATAATTAGAGGCTTAACAAAAGCTTGCACTTTGGGCCAAATAGCCAAATATATAAACATTCTCCAAGCACACCTTTTAAAAAGTGACATTTTTTGGCCATGTGCAGTAAGAAGCTCACATCTGTAATCCCAGCACTTCAAGAGGCTGAGGTGGGAGGATCACTTGAGGCCAGGAGTTCAAGACCAGCCTGGGCAACATAGCAAGCCCTGTACCTAAAGAAAAAAATTTTAGCCAGTAGAGTCCCTGTAGTCCCAGCTACTCAGGAGGCTGATGCAGAAGGATCGCTTGAGGTTACAGTGAGCTATGATTGGGCCACTCAATCTGGGCGACAAGAATGAGACCTTGTCTCTACAAAGAAAAAAGAAATT